CCAGCAAGGATACTAGGTAGGAACACATCCAGCCATACTCCTTGGCCACAAAACGCCAATTTTGGCTTCTATCCGAGTGATTCTTTGAGGTTTTTCAGCGAAAGACTACGTCGTATTCTCCTCTTCTTCGAATGTGTATACGAAAGTTCCCATAAGAGGACGGACACATTTGTTTCGAATGAAACGACGAGGACATGAGCGATACGATGAGATGAAAGCAATTAGAGCGATGTATGGCAGAAGGCCAGTACTTATCCAGAAACTCTCTCAATCATGGTATGTTAAAAATATACCTTGGCTTTTACATCATGGACACAAAATGACAAATATCTTATAAGAGTATAGGCGTTTGTCTTAAGACACATATTTTGTTTAACAACTGTCCATGTTGCTGTTTTCACTCATCTTGAAAGCTATTACCATCCATTCTTCGATAACAAGCACTCTGAAACATATCGATTACCCAAGCTACCGAGCAGCTTCCACTTCCTTTGTACAAGTGCATGTGCCCCATGTGCCCAGCCCCTGCCCCACCCCCGGCAAAGCACTGCACTCGAAGCCAAGGACCAACAGAACATCAAGAATCGATTTGGCTGCTCTGAGGGACTCTTCTTCACAGTATCGGTTACACTCTCTCTCACCATTCCTATGTACAATATACATACAGTTGCTCCTTCGAGTATAATATGGCTTAAATAATTACTTGTATTGTCTGTGTGAGTGTTGCAAGTCTACTTATGGTATCCATTACTTCAATTGGGGGTGCATCAATTATAACCAGAGGAACCACCAGGCCACCGCCGACATTTGTCAATTGTGCACCGTGTTGCGGGTTCTTTTAATTAAATATTTGATGCTTTCCACGAACTTCATTTCATCTTCATCAGCTCCTGGGAAAACCTGGGCCAGAGATCAGCTATGTCAGCAGATTATGATGGCACATGGAGGCTGCTTGGGGAGTGGCCGAACTGAACAAAAGTTGTCACTTGGGTGTCAAATGGGAAAATAAATATACGAGTATGTATAAGCTCTGGGCGGGGGTGGCGTTAAGCAACTTGTGTTGTTATCCTTGCTGCTGGATGGCACTGCTCCTCCTGTTATCCTTGTTGATGGTGTCACGCGAGACTGGGCGCGCATTTTCAATAATAATCTCTTGTCCGGAGCATAAATGTCGCATTAAAATGTCACGCACTTGTGGCTTAATCACGCAAAAGGATAACGGCATGCTTCATGCCACTGGCCCCGCTTCTTTCTCAGGATGTGGCACTGGATGACCTGACAACAGCACTTGAATAGTCATCAGCTCCTTTCACCCACCCGTCCCGGCTCTCGCAGTCGTTGTTATCTGCGCCTTGGACCTCAGTGGATGCCGAGCAAAAAAAAAGACGGAGATGGAGACGGGACGTAGGCATTACTTGTTTGCGGTTTTTATTATATCATGCTCATGTCAAATGGGCTCAGCATTGTCACATTCTTAGCCACTGCTGAATCTGATGCTGATGCTCCTCTGCTAGCTCAGCAGCACAGCCTGTCACCCCCCACTCCACTCCCACTCCCGCGCCCACTCCCACGACCGCGCCCACGCCCAGACTGCTTTTCAATCTCCATCTTCAGCCCTAGTCGTGGCTCTGGCTTTGGCTCTTGTCCTTCATCTCAAGCTGCCAGTTATTACACATTGCCAGCGTCTTAATGTCGGGGATTGTCTGACGAAGGCTTCAGAGGCAGGGGCCATGCCATGATGGGCGCGTGGATGGGCCAGGCAGGAGATTCGGGTGTTTTGCCCTCAATTCACCAACAGGTGGCATCTCACTCAACAGTCGCCCAAAGGCCAACCTTTTCTGGCCTAAACGAAATGATTACTGTCTGCAGCAGGCCTTCGCATACTCTGACCGCAACGAGTAGTACCCACGAGCCGGTACTCAATGTTCAACTGAGGAGTTTTCCCATAAGAATTCAAAAAAAAAATAACTAAAAGAAACCGAAATCACTAGAACTTGACAGTGTTCTTTCCTATTATTAAGCATCCCCGAAAGTAGGCAACACAATTTGCAAAATACTTGAGCGGAGAGGGAGAGAGAGAGAGAGAGAGAGAGCATTGCAGCTTCGTTTTGGCGTTAAATTATTCGGTTAGCCATCACTTGCAACATTTTATCAGTTAAGTCACGTTTCAGTGGTTAGGTCCACTCGGGGCAGGTCTCCAAAATCCATTCCCTGCTGCAGCAAGAGCTCTCTGTGAAATAGTGTGTGTGGTCAAGCCGACTGCAGTCAACTGCCGCAATGAAAACTCACAGTTTATTTGCTGAGCAGTGTGCCAGTGAAAAAAAAAGAGCAAGGATTGCCAAAGGAGTGGCCTGCAAATGAAGCCAAAACCTCAAAACTCGATCCCCTAACCTGCCACTCAACTCTTCTGGGGGCGGGCCTGGGGACCGAGTCATTGGTAAATCAAAAATTGAATTATGGCCAAAGAGCTTCTGTTTCTGCTCCTGTCCCTGCTTCTGCTTCTGCTTCTGTTTTGGTGTAGTAGAACTGCCTCAACAAAAGCCATTGAAGAAGAGAACGAACCGAGAGCCATTTTGTCGGCTAATTCCATTAGGAACTTACAAATGTTGATTCAATTTGCATTGTCAATTAAATCGCTTCCCTCATCAGGGCCCGCATCTCATTGCAGGACCATGCCAGACCCTTTAATAGACAGAAGTACCGCACCCATGCTCCACCATAATTGCATTAGTAGCCATATTTGGGTTGTCATCAACATTTTGGCCAAAAGATTTTCCAACTGACGTCGGCACTTTGCGCAACGCCCACTTTTCCGGGACAGCATTTTCCCAGCATTTGTGGTCGAAATAATTTTGTAATTTCGCCTTTTATTTATTTACAAGTAACGAGTTTGAACCAGCCCATTCGGGAGAGCCAAAGGGGCCGAACGATTCTTGGTGATTGGCCGGCAAAAAGTTTCTGTGGCAGCCACAGTGTCGCCAAGGAGTTCACGTCCGACCCGAATGGAATGGCATGGTATGGCATGGGACGGGAGACTGGATGATGAAAGGCCAAGTCAAATGCTTCACTGATTACAGGGACGATCCTTCGGAAAAGTTTACGTATGATTTGCTCAGAAAATTGAAATTTGCGGTGGAAGCAACTGCCTGCTGGAAATCATTACTACTATCACACATCCGCATTGCCTCACCCCATCCGATACGGTCTGCAATGGTCCACTCAGTCCACTCGTACGATTTGCATTTCAATTATGCTCAAATTGCATCTTCTATATCTGTCATGTCACATCGTGCGGGAGTTATTCAAATGCATACCATCCCCCTCCCCCCCAAGAGCCCCACCTTGAGTTAGTTGTTCTGGCATTTATTTGAGTACTTGGATTATCCTTTGCTTCGTTTTTGCCGATTTGTATTTCAGGATTTGTTCTTGCGGAATGCGCACCATCCACCATTTAAATGCAACAAGAGCTGATTTTGTGAGTGCTTTCAAATTATATTGACTCGCTTTCGATCTGCATTTACCTATAAATCAGGAATTTTGATAATTTAGCACAAATTTTAAATATATATTTTTATTTTGCGGCCATTAAATCAGTTGATTATTGATTTTTTTGTCACAAATAGTGCATCAGTTCTTCGATCGATAGCCGATGCTATCGGCTCTCTTTTCGGAGCAAATTTAGCACAGTATAATGTCATATAGCTAGCTATGTATACACATATGTATTAATATTTGCCACAAAAACCACAAACATATCTTGAATAGCATCTCGAATTCCTTGCCTTGCTCTATAGCGATGCTGATCGATAGTGTCCAGTTCGGGCTGCTAAAACATCGTTTAAATATCAGCTCACGAATGAGTTACCCACAACAGTGTCCTAACAGCCCCTACAACTGATCTCTCCATCTGGCTAGATCGGACTCCTTCAAATTACAGCACATCCGACTCCATAGGTCTATAATATCTGGTAATACGTAAAGCCGAGCTTGTATCAATCGTTTATTCCTCCCACGTGAGAGTTCAGAATAGGTTTTGTGGTTGGTTTTTGATTTCTTTGTACTCAAACGACCAATTTGGAGTTATGACGTGGCCGTTCCGCTGTCTAGCGCTAAATACGGCCACTGTAGCATCAGATAGGCGCAGTCGCATCTCTCCAGCCCGCTGACATCATCCAACTGCTGTATGCAGCACGCCAGAACGCAATGTGCCCGCAGTAGATCTTTCCGTAATACTCATCAATCAGCAATCTGCTACAGCTCTTTGGCAACGGATGTCGTCGGTGCTTATGCCTTATGCTTGATCAAATCCGAAAGGAGGGACTATTATTACTTTTAGATGGACATACATATGTAGGTACTATTGCCATGATTAGCTCTTAGTAGTCAATATATATTGTATATATTCCACATGGATGGAATGACAGATACTTCTAAAAGTACGAACCAATTACTACCAGATATTTTGGAATTATTTTCTTTAAATGGGTGCTCAAAACGTTTGGCATATTGTGTGCTATAAAGAGTAATTTAGACTGAAAGAGGTTTAACATAGAGTAGATTCCCTCTTGAGGGTCAAATACATACATTTGTACAAAATGTATCTAGATAGATATATACAAATATAAGACTACAACTCCCTTTGGCGAAGAAAACCACATACATATGCATATCTTTTCGTAGATTTCTTAAAAGCAAGTCCCCTTTATCCGAATCCGAATCACAATTTTCGTCTCTCATTTCATTTTAAATACATATATGTATCTTTTCGTATTTATTGAGATAGCAAAACATACAATTTTTGGCTTTCATCCACTGCGCTATACAAAAAAGAGTGTTATGGATAGGCTATCTGCAAGATACAGTTGTCGTATCTGTTTCTATGTATGGGTGTATGGTATGTCCTATAAGTATACATGTATATATCTAAATGGGGGCTCCCGAATATCACATCTCCTTCATGATATTGTCAACAACCAAAAAAAAAAAAAACGCGTGGATACTTTTGCATTTTGGGATTGGCCATAGCCACGGCCAGAGCTTCGCGTCGTTAATAGTATATGTATTTATTATGGTTTAGCTTTAACTTAGTCTACTGTCTTTTTGGTAAGTATTTTCTTGATGGGTTTCTGCTCGTGTTTGCCGCTGCTCGCATTTCCAAAGAATCAAATAAATAGCGTATTACAAAAGTATTAAAGTTAGCAAAAAAAAAAATAATAGTAATAATAATAAAACATAGAATTAAAGCTGGAAACGAAAGCTTAGACAGACACAGAAAAAAAAAACGGTTTAAAATTTACAAAAATATATGCCAAATCTGGGGAAAAAGTCAGAGAAAATCTCACAGAAAATCTCTGCCAGTAAATGTGTGTGTGATGGTTGTGTTTGTGTGTGATGCTTGAGGCACTTCAACATTTTGTGATGGGGGGGAGGGAGGGCAGTCCTAGCAGACGAGACGCTCGTTGTCCGGCTGGAAGATCCGGTCGTAGTTCTCGATCAGCACCTTGGCCAGCATGTTCATGCGCCCGATGTCCAGCTGGATCTGATTGGCACTGAGCAGGCAGGGGCCCCAAACGATGGCCAAATTGGTGGAGGGCATGCGATTCGAAGCGCTGGCAGCAGCCACTCTGAAAAATAGCAAACAGATCAGGCAGTTATTATCGGAATAGAGGAGCAGGAGTATCTATGTATAGCTCGAACCTGGTCAAATGCTTGATGAGGAATCTGAGTGTGGATCGATTCGGTTCGGGCATCTCATCGAAGGCCAAACGCATCCGCTCGATGGCCGCCTCGTCGCTCAGACTGCGACCCAGACGCTCGTAGGCCTCCTGGGTGATGAGCGGAGCTGAGAGCTCGCGAAAGAACTGCTTGTGCAGGCTGGTCAGCGTATGGATGTCGTCGGTGTGCAGGAAGCGTGGATCGTACAGGTGCGTCAGCTTCTTCTTCAGCTCATCGACCAGCACCTTGTTGCCGGATGCCCGATAGAGGCCGTCCTGTTCGACGCAGTCCGGGCGCTCGATATAGGCACAAACGTCGACGACAAAGCGCGGCACATTCGGATGATCGGTCATGTTCAGCTCCAGGGCGTTGAGAGGTGCCCCAAAGAGCGGATACTTCGACTGTTCGTCCAGATACAGGCTGTTGACCTGGCCGCGTCGTGTGCGCGACTTTTTCTCGCTCTTTGGCGACCGATTGCTGAAAGAACAAATATGCATTAAGAGGATTTAGATAACAACAGCCACTCTACTTACATGCGAAACACATTGCTGTTGACGGCAACTGGAGATCCAGCAGCATGAAAAGAGAAGAGAACAAAAACAATCATAGAATCATTTGAAAGTACAGTTTCGGCTATTGGGAACACATATGTACATTCGGACAGTCGCCTATCGACGAGAGGCCTGCAAACGGATAAATACTTCGATGACATTCTCTCTGCGCGATGCCTGGACCCTCACTGCCTTCCACTGCCCAATCCGTACAAATATTTATCACCTACGCCCCTCGCATGTCTCACAATCTTTCCAGCCATCCACTGGCGCATTCCTCTCTCGCTCTCACAGACAGATTGTGATTCATTTCGATCAAAACCACCCACCGATGCGATGCGATGCGATGCGATGCGATACTACTCATTTGCATTATCCAACAAACAGCGCACAGAAAATCCCCCCTCATCGCTCAAAAGTGAAGCCCCAGCTTTCATTAACTAAAAATCCAACAAAGAGAGCCCCACAGAGTCTATTCGAGATCTCGCATTCCCATTCCCGTTCATGTCGATCCATACTCGTAGATGTTGTACTCTGTGCGGCGGCCTTTTAAGGCCAACTTTGCGCACAAGCTGAGAGCTCTCTGAGAGCAATGATGCAAAAGCAACAGACAGTGGGGCGCCCCACTGTTAACCGGTTCGCTGGAAAAACCCAGACCAAAAAAAAAACTAAAAAGAAACAGCCATAACCGATTTTCAAGCACTTTGAGGACTTTTAAAAATGAGATCAGCATATATCATCCCTCAATGGAGGGACACTCAAAAAAATAGATTATCGAAACGATTTACAATCAACTTTAAACTTTCCAAAGATTTGTTCAATAATAAACCAATGCAATGTCTAAAAGCTCAACCAATTTGTTCTTAATTTAACAGGAATAAAAAACCTATGCTTAGATCTGGAACTTTTTCCAAGGAAAATATAGTTACAACCGATTCACCGACATTAACAGACAACAGATCGTCCTACCACCGATTTATACCAGTTTTCTTCTACGATTTTGCCTATTTTATAAACCTTTAAAGCCCCAGAGCATATACAACATGTACATAATTACTGTAGAGAAGATTCAAAATTCCTTTAAGAAATGATCCTGCAAGACGCGGCACACTGGTTCTCCGATTTCAGCAGGAAAAACAACATGCACTGCGTGTGCATGACTGCTAGGGTTTTTTTGATCTTGCTTTTGCTGGGCTATAGCTTCTGCACTTTCCCAACTCTAATAATTATCACCCATTACAATACCCATTTGTAGTACAGTTTCGTGACCCGTTTCGTTACCGCTGGGACGTACATTTCATGCGCATGCGATTCTTGATGGACTTCTTGTCATCCTCGCCGGGCAGATCCACCAGATCCCCAATGGAGGCGCTCTTGAAGCGCTGCAATATCACCGTCTGCTGGGTCTGCTGCACCTCGCTGTCTTCCTGGATCTGCTGTGCCCGCAATATATCAGTCACTGGCACAATCTGCAATGATAGAGAGATAGCACGCAATGCATTAATATGTGAAGTTCAACGCTGCTCAAGGGGGGTAGGGGAAGGAAGTGGGTGAAGATTGTGGGTCGGATGCACGATTCGTGCTAACGTCTGCACAATTAATTGCAACATTTCGTACCGAAATCGATGGCGTTGTCGTCGTCTAGTTCTTTTAGAGTCTTTTTTCTGTTCATACCCTCTAAAAGTAGAGAGGTGGAAGGGTATAATCGGATCGCTTGCAGAGGAAACACCATGGATGGATAGATAAAATTAAATGGAGTTTCCCCTTAGCTTCCTAAAAAGGCTTCCCTAATTCGAAAATCCAATGAGGAAACGACACTTATCGGTGGAAGACTTATAAGTGATATCAACTGACAAGAGACTGTGTTCTCTGATGCTCCCTCCCACTTAATGAAGGGTATCTCTGCAGCGGGAATCCCCCTATTATTTTCACTCTTTCGGAAACGTTTTGTTTTTTTTCTTTATGAAAGTGTCTTGTTCTTAAAGTCCATCGCTCACCGTTGTTTGCCTTCTCTTCGATCTGCCTTTGCCTTTGCCTTTGCCCGTCATTTCTTATCGCCGATACGCTCTTTCTGTTTTTTTGTCTGAACGAACGCTATCTCTTGTTTCCCGGACGGAAAGCGGAATACACCACACCACACCGATATTGATAAGAAAATTCGATTTCGATTTGTAAAAGAAATGGAAATGGAAACAGAAACAGCAACGGCAACGGCAACGTGCAACGGTTTTAAATGCAGCGATACGAATGGAGTTCTGTTTTCGAGATATGCTGCATTAAGGCCTCATAATTCTCCCCGGACTGTGCACCGGCACCAACTGGTGCCCTCCCCAGCGGAGAGTTATTCTATATGCCACAGGGCGATAAGTTGCACCTGGGCTTCCCCTGAATTCTGTTAGCGCCATAAATTCAACAAATTCAACAAAGATATTAGCTTTTCGCTAGAATTGTAAAGAAAGCTAGGCCCATTTTAGGCGATTCGATTCACTGGAAAATATTTGTTTAAAAATTCGAATTACACAGAAAGCCGAACGCCATCTGGAGGCTAAAACAGTTGGCCCTCAATTGTTATCGATGATATAAGGGCGCATAGAACTACGATAAAAATAATATATGAAACTACATACATATATAACGAAGTATTCATACACTTTCCGACACGAGAACGCGTCTAGAATGAGCCTAGAGAGAGTTATCCTCTCAATATACGAGATGGATATCCAAAAGACTTTATTCAAAATCGTATACACTTAATTTATAGCGACCTATGCCCATATCAATTGAGGTCCACAGTTTTCTACAAAGTATCTAGCACCGGATGCACTTACAATAACTACAAGGTAGATATCATATCTTGGATACGTTTAGGAAAACATGCCCCCTTTTTGACGATAAGTGAATAAGGCCAGTAAATCTTACACGATCGGACTGACACAAAACTGACCAAACACTTACACTGAAGAAACTATAAACAGAGAAACCTTTGGAATCTTTCAGAACTTATTTATTTTCCAATTAAATTTAATCCATAAATACAAAATTTCAATAAGTACTGTAAAACGCGTGCAGGCCAAGAAATAATTTAATGATCTGAATGAATTGGGAATTTGAAAGGTTGATTCTAGAAATCTACGAGCCGAGGGAAACATTTTATCCATAATATTTCTGTATCTCCTAAAAAAAAACTAAATATTTTATACCTTATAATTTTCCTTTATTATTTCTCTGAAAAAAAAAAAACCCCCAAATACGCTTTAGTGTGGGACCTACGGAGTGCTTTAACAAATTTTCTTTCGGCCTTTCAGTCCTTTCGGACAGTCCCATTTCAGGTAAGCTCGGCTAGAGTATAGTGTATTCTGTTTTGCAGAATTCGCTTGTGCGCCTCGAGTCATATGGGAACAAGGCGTTGCTCTTCCAGAACCATTACACGGGTTCATGTTTACTATATCCAATGCCCAACAGCTGTACACCCATCCCCCGCCACCGCACACCGTTCACTTTTCACAGGGACCCGCGCTCCACTTTGGGGCCCCCCCCCCTCCGCCAATTATCGCTTGATAATTTCAACAAATTAGAGCTGAGGCACGCCGCTTTCAAAGATTAGACTCAATTTGTTTTTGGCTAATTTGTTTTTTGTTTTGCTGGTTTTTTTCACCCTCTCTCTCTGTGGTATTTTCTGCTTTATTGGTGCCCGTAGCTTTGGTTCATTATTCGTTTATGTTTTTCTTAGTTTTTCCATTTCTGCAAACATAAACAAAACAAAGCAAAAGTTTTCGGGGGAGGCGCCACCAAGGTGCTGACCAGATTTTTTAATAGATGTGTATCTATGAGAAAAGGCGAAAAGGCTAATCGGAGAGGATCGATTGTTCGCAATCGCTTTTGTCGGTAGTATAAATCTCGGGGCAATGATGGCTCTTGTGTTCGTGGAGAGGGCACTGCCAGTGTATAAACAATAATATCGAGCAGAAAAAAAAGAAGGCCAACAAAAAATACTTAATTGATACGACCTCGAAGTGCGGCAGGCCACATTCAGACACATGTTTGCTTTGCTTTACGGCGAACTGCCCCGCAATTTGCACGAGTTGTGCTCCCCGGCACCGCCCCCGCCCCCACCCACAGATACCACCAGCCAAAGTATCTGTATCTGTGTCTGTATATCGCCATTCGCCCGACATGCGTGTGATTCACTGAGCAAAACCCGAACTGAGAGCCCGCAAACGAAGCGAACCGAAACACACAGAAAATAAACAAATAAAAACCAAAAACCAAACAAAGGCGCAGTTGACCTTTTCCGTTTTCAGTATCTTTCTTTCTTTCAGTTTTTGTGTTTCTTTTTTTCTTTGGCTGGCGAAAATCCTCTAGCCGCCCCCTGCACGGAGGAGGATCAAACCCGGGCCAAACGTCGGTGGAAGGAGCAATCCTCTCTGTGACCCCTCTGATGTTCCTGAGAGGGGATGTAGGCCTTTAAGATCAGAGCCGGCCCCAAGTCAATTCGGACATCTCCCAGGAGGAGAAGGCCAAGCTAGCGGATAGAGGAGGGTCGGATAGAGAGGCATCGTCTGGCTAAACGGTGTCAAAATCCTGAAGTGCAACGATGACCCCACATTCAGGTGGCTGACGCGTAAGGTCTGCCATTTGGAAGCGACGTGGGAAGGGGCCAAGCTGGAGGTGGAGCTAATCCCGTCCATACCAAGAGCGAGGGCGACCGGAAGCTACTGCAACGCCAAAACCCAGAGGTGACAACGGACAACTGGAAGGCTCTGCACTACCCAACGAGGGGGGTAACGGAACGTAAGAGTACCTTGGTATCTGGCTGGAGAGTCCCCGAAAGACCATTGTACTCAGATCATGAGTACATTCCGTTCCCGCGATAAAAGTCTATAGAAACCACCGGAATAAAAACTGGAAAAAGTTCAAAATCCGCGGAAGATATAGAGGATTCCCCAGAAACCATATCCACACTCTCTTTGGATAAAAATCTAAACCAATTCGTTCATAACCAAGTCAAAAATCGATCAACGATTCATAAACGCCTCTGAACCGTTTAAAGCATCATTAAAGATGCATCACAGACATATAAAAAGTTCACAAGTCGATCATAGTCCCAAATTGTAACCGATTTACATTCAATATTTGATTAAGCATTAGGTTCCACAAAGTTCACGAAAGTTCAAGTCCAAACGCATTCCAAGAACCCTAGAAAAAATCAATTTATAACCAAGAGATAAAAAGATAAATGACCCAATGATTCAACGATTCAACGATTCAACGATTAGATGATAATTATCCCAACAAAAGAGATATGAGAAGAAATAAAGAAGAAATCTCTTCGGGGGGGAAATATGTACATATATACAATCGCCTAGTCATATCTGTATCCGAATATAATCTTCATTTCTGCATAAAATGCTATAAAAACACTTATTTATGGAACACTCAAGCCCCGTTATGCATTTTTACAATCCAAGCAGTAAAATTATTTCAGTGGTTCGTCGTCGGGGTTTCGAAAACCAACAAAACGATGAGGGGCCCCCAAGTTACAGCAAGATATTTGACTAATGATTAACCCCCAACCAATTAAATGCTGATAAAAGCGCCGAACGGAGGAGCTCGAGCTCTGAGGCTGGACAGGAAATTATCGAAAAACCAAAACCAAAGTTCCCCGAGGCTTTAGATACCCTTACAGAAACGCTCGCGTTCGAATGATCTTCGTGGCGTTCCAGTTGAATGAGTCCTTTCGCTTAGGAGAAATTTTTGGTCCCACCCTTAGCGGTTGAGGGACTCTCTAAATATTCCGATTGTGAGTGAAACACTCCGCTTAAGCGCACGTTTTGAAAGAGTATTTAAGGCCAACAAAAAAATGGCTCAAAAGTGTAGAACTGGTTCTGTCAAAAGTTTATAACAAAAGTAAAAAATTTGACTATAGATACAGACACACAGATACAAAGACACTCATGTCCGAAAATACATGTGTTTGCAAAAAAAAAATAATAATAAATAAAACCAAATAAATAAATAATTGTCGTTTGGGGCAGCACAAAATCTGAAATGTGAATCAACATTTTTTATTTGGGGTTGGGAAGAGCCCGCAGAGTTCGGGGGGGACCGACTCGACACTCCCCCTCCGTGAATTTCCATGGAAATTCGCATGCAACGGCGACGCGACTGCAAATGCAGCAGCAAACATCAAAATGAAAACAACAAACGTGAGAGGCAAATAAATAAAAATATATTATGCAGAAAGCGGGCACACACACACACACGCAAACACACACTCTTACACATGCGAAACGCGTTGCTATAAACAAAGTGCAATCAAAAGCCGAATGGAAAGGGTGTGACACGAAAAATTAAATGGGGACTGGCGGAGGAGCCGACTACAGAATGCTCTGACCCGTTCGTCGTTGTCTGTGCCAATTACCCACAAGCGAAAACACACATTCGATTCGATTCGGTCGAAATTTCTCTTTGATGGTTGGGAGATAAATGGAGATCAAGTTGGAATATTCTTGGATAGTTAAATGGGCTTAAAACTCTTAAAACAGAGGACTAATGAAGAGTATATGCTGTATTTGAGATACTCAAAATGATGTGAAAGCTAAGATATCCCCAAATAATTTAATAATATATATTATATATGTATATGTATAATGTATCTTTGATTCTATATTCCATAGACTCTAGAAGGAAAGACGTAAAAAGATTGATATATTGCCTAAATGAGGACAGCCAGAAAGCATGGGCGTCACTCTCGTATCTCTTATTACATATGAGGGATATATGTATATTGTCCCCCAAATCTGATAACTTTGAACAAAATTCCCCCAAGTTTGTCTTTAAATATTTATCAAAAATTCGCTAATTAATAAAATATTCCAAAAGATGGCCATTAATTTAATTTTCATTTAAACTAAATAAAAATACCAACAGCTGAAAATAATTCTATAAATAATTTGATTTAGTGAATCTTCTACGAACACTTTTAAAACTCCTTGTTGCTTGAGTTTCTATTGGGAAAAGTGTTGGTACATGCGTCTCAAGTGGTTTCCAGTGTTGATTTACTTGAAAATAATGAGAAAGTAGAGTTTCGGAGGAATATTTCCGCACTTATCCCTCCCTGTTACCCTGAGATTGTAAGCACTTTTCAAGCGCACAGCAAGACAACTACGGTTTTCGCATTAATTTCTTTGTACTTATTTTCCAACACTGCTCCCCATGGATAAGGGTATATCTGAGCGCTGCTCCCCCCGAACGGGAACAAGGGGCCTGGGCCTCCCATAGATCGGTGGGCAAAACAATCGAAATGCACCGTTGCGTCGCGTCGCGTCGCTCCGCCATCTATCTATGCGCCACAGATATACAGATGCAGATGCAGAGATACATTTGCCCCACGTTTAATTGATGTGACAAGTGACAAGTGTGGAAACAATGGGAAACCCCCACAGCCACAGCACACAAAGAAGTGCAACGAATTTCCATAGTAAATTCAGAGAGTGGTTCCCATGGACATGGACCATGCCCGTGCCCGTGCCCGTTCGAGTTCCCTTTCCCTTTCCCTACTACATATACTCACCATGTCTTCCTCGTCCTCGCAACAGTTGATATCTTGAAGGCTCGCCCGCCAGGCCAGCACCGAATCCGTAAGCAGGAGCCGGACATTGGAACGGACCCGTAGCTTGCGAGCGGAACGGGGTCCAGCGCCTCGCTTGGTGACGGCCGCTGCGGCCAGGCAGGCCAGGGCCCAGTCCTCTTTGAGGGGTGTCGGAATGGCAACGAATTTCGATTGAGAATGAACCACCTCTCCGTCCTCTGTCGCATCACAGCTGCAGCCGCTGTCATCATTGATGGTTGGCAGCGGCACTGGCAGTGGCAGTGGCATCATCTGTGGTGCTGGCTGCTGCATTTTTGGTGCTGCTCTTGCTGCTGACATTGGCGGTGCCGGTGGCGGTGGCGCTGGTCGTCGGATGCGTGTCATGAATCGCTGATGGACTTGGGAGCGCTGATAGTCATAGAAGATGGCGCTATATTTCTTTGGTTCCCGTATGCTATGGAATATGCAAATGTTTCGCAGCACTGGATGCACCAGTGAAACCTTTTGTGATGACGACGGTCGCAGGCGAGTGGCGCTGCCCGTGCTGCTCAGGGACCCCATGGTGGCCGTGCTATTCGTGACTGTACTCCCGAGACTCAGCGTCTCCAGGGTATCTTCCATTTCCAGCTGGTATTCGGGGTCCTCCTCCTCGTCCTCCTGGATGTTCTCCTCCTCGGGGACCGCAGCCCCACCAGCAACAGCCTCTTTGGTGTCCCGCGAGAACATAAACTCCGCATCCGTCTCCCAGGCGCCCTGGTCCATCGACGCTGTCGGCGACGGCAGTGGCGTTGGCAGCATCATTTTTGAGCGCTTAGTCAGCGTCGATGTTGAGAGCTTGTATCGGACTCCGGCTGCAAAGACCGCTGCTGCCTGTATAGCCATCACATCGGCATCGGCATCAGCGTCTGCGTCATCATCGAAGTCATCCTCTACCTCCAGCTCTTCCTCCTCCTCCTCTTCGCCATCTTCATCATCATCGTCATCGTCATCATCCTCGTCTTCTTCGTCATCTACTTCTGCAAGTTCTGGTGCTACGGCCGCCGCTGGCGCCCCGACAGCAGTCTCCTCTACGTTTTTAGGATCTTCAACTGGCGGCTCCAGGGTCTTGAACTGCCAAATGGGTTGATAAATGGACTCCTCTTCCCCGTAACTTCCTTCGGAGAGACGTTTGCCCTCCCCAACCCCGACCTGGCTGCTGTTGTTGTTGCTCTCCTTTTGGGGATTACTCAGAGTTGTGTTTGGATTCCTTACGGGTACTTTCGGAGCCGGACGACGCACCTTGATTACACAATTCTATAAAAAATACAAATATTCGTTGATTCTCAAAACAAATCTCCAGGGCCTTATCGTTGGGCATTCGAAATTGACTCAAGAAACGACCGATAAAGAACATTTATACTCGTATGTGGGATGGCTTTTATGAAGCACTTTTGAATGGTATTTCAAAGAATTACTAGAAAATATTAAAAGCTAAATCACATTCTATGTCAGTAATTAATTAATTAACCAATTATAAATTAATAATTTTTCCATACATTTTTCCATATAAATGTTCTCTATCCCATTGAAATCGTGATTGAAATCGTGTTTTTTTCATATGTTAATTGCTTTGTTGTTTCTCTTTCATTATCGCGATGATGGGCAACACTCTCGTCCTTCCTTTATTTTGTTTATTTTTGTCATCTGGCAACACTCTGCACAATCACCGAAAAAAATATATATGTACATATGTCTACATGTATAAAGTTTTAATTAACTAATTAATTCTTTTATGGTTATCTCATTATTGCAAATTGTTTATATTACAAATTTGTTTGCTTTTCAAACACTTTTTTATCTCTCTCATTTTCTTTTTGTATCCAATTTTCCAATTGGAAAAACGAGAGCATTGGCGTCTCCCCACCGTTAGGCCTTTCGGAGTCAATTTCGAACTGCAGTGAACCGCAACATCACTAGTGGAAAACAGGGGGTGTGGGGCGGGGTAGGATGGAAAAAAGAAACAATTTCGCTTTATTGTTGCTTTAATGAGTGTTGACCTGAGTAATTTGTTGCTGCTGCTGGTGCTGGTGCTTTCTGGCAATGCCGTGCTCTTTGCTGCCGCTGCCGCTGCCGCTGCTCCCGCTGATGCTCTCATTGTCGCTGCTGCTACTGTTGTTATTGAGCCGCTGCTCAGTGTCGCCGCATGGCTTGAGCGCTGCCATCACAGCGCTGCCGTCGCTGTTGCCGTTGCTGTCGCTGTCAACGTCCACGGCGTTTGTGCTATTGTTTTGGTTATCACGAACGGTTTCCGATCGCTGCTCGCTTACGCTCTCACCGACACTCACACTCACACTCACACTCGCTCTCGCTTCACTCTCTTGCGGATCACTGGGTCTGTTTCTGTTTTCGGTCGCGAGGGGAGGAGGAGGCCTAGCGACCATCGCAGCACCACTAACGTCGTCACTCGCCAGCGTCGCGGGAAGAAATGAAAGCGTTCGCCTTGGAGCCGTTCGTGGAGCCGCCAACGCCGGCGCAGCTGACTCACGTCGCCGCTGCGCTCTCAGCCAGCGCTCAATTTTAATGATCTGACTCTCTTGCTTCTGCTCTCTGAGCATGCGGCTCAATGATTTGTCATAGAAGCATATGAAGCCACGCACACATGCATGCAGGCTGGCATGCAAAGCTGCGCTCTGCATGAGCTGCCAGAGCGAGATACGGCCGTTTAATGCTGGGATCATCACCGTCGCCAACGGGAGGGGCTCTCTTAGCTGACTGCGGCGGCTCTCTTGTACTGGTTCTCCCTCTAGGCCACTCAAAAATTCATTGACAAAATCGGCATTCAGATGCTCATTGATTCCGCAGCGTCGCTGATCCTTAATCTCCTCCCGGTCCAGGCTGTCTGCTGCCTGCTCTCTCTGCTGTTGCACGAGTGGGTCAATGGGCGGGGAGGACTCCGCTCTCTTGAGCTTGAGCTTTCGCTTGAAGTCATCCACGAGCCGCTGCTCGAGCACAGCTTTGGTGAGTCCGCGCTGCTTTTCACCCACCCTTCTCAGGGTCACCTTTTCCGCTTCCATCTCTCGCTCACGCTCTCTCTCCCGCTCGTAGGAGGGCGGCACACTCTTTGGCTGCTGGCACATGCCCTCCCCGTCCTCGTAGTTGTGCACCTGATGCCGCAACGTGGCCATCCAGTCACAGATGCTCTCGTTGAGAAACAGCGATGCCTCCTCCTCCTCCGCCTGGAGCAGGCGAATGCGTGACACGCGCGGCTTCTTGCGCTGCTCCTTCTCCTGCGCAAGCGTCGCCGCCGCCGCTGCCGCCGCCGCCTCTCTGTCCGGCTCGCGTACCCGTCCGTAGATATGCTGATCGCTCTGGCTGCTCTGCAGCTGGCTCTTCAGCTCGCAGATTCGCTGCATGTCGAAGGTCTCCTGAGTGCGAAACACCTCTCCCACATTGTGGATGATCTCCAGGGAGCCCGGACCCGTTCTTGGCTCTCTTTGGAAGATCTTCCTTTGCAGCGACCCGGACCGATTCAGCTGCTTGAGTGAGCCAAAGAGACGGGTCAAGGTCGCAGCACTCGACTTCGAGTAGTTGAGCAGAGTCCTCGATTTGCTCTTCACCACCGTTGTGGGCGGTGTGGGTGGCTTTGTCTTTGGCTCCGGAGTGGCAGTGGGCGTGGTGGAAATTTCCGCCTGACAGTGGCACTCCCCCTCATCGCTGTAGATCCCCCGACAGAGATCGCAGATGTTCTCGTAGATATTCCCCTCGCTGGGCGATGGTGGGGTGGGAAGAATGGATGGTGGCACACCGCCGCTCACAATACACTGACAGAAATGGCAGTAGTGACCTTGGGCGCCAAAGACGCCATAGCCGCAGCCGCGGCAGAGATTCTCATAGATGGCTTCGCGGTGAAAGTATTTGCGGAGTTCGGGCAACGGGAGGCCCAGTGGCTGCTGGGGTCTGACGGGTGACGGGAGATTCTCATATATATGCGATCCCCCTTCTTCACCATTCCTTAGCGGCCGCCGGAGATTGTCATTGATGTCCGCGTTCCGTTCGATTTCACTCACTTGCTGTGGCATTTCTCTTATTCTCGTTGCACTCACTCTCTTTCACAACACTCACACACACACACACGAACGAACACATGAACACACACCGCGCACACGCTTATCGCATTGTTATTGTAATTTTCTGCTGCTGCTGCGTCATAATTCATTATAGATGAGAGAGGAAGAGAGAGAGAGAGAATGAGAGGGCAGTGAAACAAAAGCGGTTTAATTTAAATGGAAGCAATTCAAACAGTTAAATGCAGGCGGCCTCTCTATCTATCTCTCCTACTCCTTTGCTTTGACTTTCATTATCTCAACGGCAAACGCAAACGCACACGCACACACACACACACACACACAAAGTCGCTGCACTTCTGCTTCAACTCTGGCTCGCCTTGTGCTTAACCCTTAGATGGTGAGGCCTAATCGAAATATTGTATCAGGATTTATTTAAAGTGAAGCGTTTTTCGATCTAGCATAGCTGCTGGCCCTTTTGAAGGGTTAAGACTAACTGTTCTCTGCGTAATTGTTATTTGAATATTTTTTCTGTCGCTGTCTTCACTTTGGCCCTACCTAACTTAACCCTTATATGGGGAAACAGGGAACAAGTCTGTAGATATAAATATATTTTATAATTTGTATCATTTTTTTCTAGTAATGTACACCAGTATTAATGGTAAAGAACATTTAAGAATATTCAGAGCTTCCCAAACTGGCACCGCTGAAGTGTTAACGCTAACACTGTTTTCTTCGTTTTGTTCTTTCGTTGTTGTTGTTTCTTTTTGGGTGTGCTTTGTTTTTGTTTTCCTTTGAGCTCTTCGGCTTTACGATTGAAGGGGCTCTGGCTATTAACGCTGACATAACAACCATGATGATGATTGTAATAATAATGATCATGATGATGATGATTGTGGGGATGATGAGTCACACGAAAACAACGATCCAGCAAAGCATGTCGCCGCCGCCGTAGCTGTCGGTCAGGGGCGTGTCGTCTTTCCTTGTATCCCCGCCGACAGAGAGAGAGAACCGCCGGGAGAAAACTGGTTAACGCTCACCGAGAATTTTGTAACACCCCGCTGCCGTCTCCTCTCTCACCTACGCCTCACAGGTGCCGGCGCCGAGCGATGTCTAATGGAATGCGGAATGCAACCTGTTGGAACAGCTGTCCGACCAAAAAAACGAACAAAACGAAAGCCGGCCAAAAGCAACTGACGAGAGAACGATGCCCCAACAAATCTGCTTATCTCTTGCTGGGGAAGGGGCGGAATCGTTCCTTATCTTTGGGATCTCCCCCCGGCTATTAGTCATTCTTTGATCTAGGATTTTTACCATTAATCATGATCAGCTCTTCGGATGAAAAGGAAAACGAATGGAATTTTTATTCAAATTAATTCCCATATAGAAAATTCATCATATTTCATCTTATAATCTTTCAATATTCTACATGGGGAATAAAGGGTTTGCGTGAAAGTATTTGGTTTGTATCAACTGTTTCCAACAGGGTTGCACTGGCTCGGCACATGGTGCTATTATGAGCACCGGGAATTAGGAAAACACGTGTTCTATATCCTTAAGTACCTACTTGTGTAATACACTATTTAAATGTAATCCTTAGCCTTTGTTTTTGCGGTATGGTAGAGTTTTTCCTATACATAATCTCACATTGGGGGCTGGACAAGGCTTTCCCTATGGTATCCGATGTCGGATATTTACGAGTCCACCACGGAGCCTGCCGATTAATTGTAACATAAGTTGTTGTACCAATCGCATTCTAGATTAATACTTGAACCATATCAACAAATTATTTAATTTCGTCATCCAGGCCGTCGCAGAGTTCCCCGTGGAACAAGTAGCCACCACTAAGGACCCAGAGTCGAGCAGATCATTTGCGGTGGGATAGAGCCCCATCTCCCACATCATAGGGCTTCTTTATCGTTTAGCGCATTGTAGGAGGAATATTTAATGAATTCTTGATTTTTCTGCCAGCTGGGTTTGCAAAATTACTTGAAATTTAATCCGAGAAATATAATATCTAAAAGTCTGCTTTCATGCATATGTTTTTCAGGTATTTACTCCCCTCCCCACTTCTGAGGAGTATGAATTCCATCTAGTTTAAAGTGAAACTCAACGATTTGGTTAGAAAATGGGTCCAATGGTCCGTGATCCTCATTCATCTTAACTTTTTCTTGCTCCCAAGTTTTTTGAGGTCTTGTTTCCTAAATCTCTAGCATCTTTGACATAGAAATATCTCAAAAAAACTCTACAGATAGTATTTCCTAAGTTCGCAGATCAATGATCAGACCACTATATCTTATGATATCTGACGCCTATTTATTGGTATAATTTCAATTAAAATACACTATTTTACTAGAAATTACATTTAATGTGGTTTAATTATTATTTTGACTGAGATTATGAGTCCATATATTATAGAGGAGATTAATAGAAACCACAGAGCGTATTTCAAGATTGCTCTCCGCCCGTGGGAGTTTCCGCTGTCGAAATTTTCAAGCCCCAACGACAATGACTTTCCATTATGGAAAGCCCCCCAAAGATGCAGCCAAGCACCACTCATCCACACCGTTGGATGTATCTGTATCTCTGGATTACGGATCGCACTATTATCAGATCCATGGGACACTACGACTAGCATACTTTTAGGCAGCAGGTCAACAGAGGCTTGACCCCGCTCCAAGACACCCAGACAACAGCAAAGGTCCAGACTTATGTATGTGGCGCCACAGCGGGGCATGGAAATTCTATGGATTTGCCAATGGCCCAATGAATCATCGGTTCGAGTGGTAGAGTGTGTGACAAATGAATGAATGATGATGAATGTTTACAAATGTAATTGAAAAGGCGAGTATACTCGTATGTACATATATTATAAAACAGGGTTTGGCTTCATGAATCTTCCACACTCTCTGTCCTAGTTATCGCACTATTCTTATCTCTCTCTCTCTCTCTCTCTCTCTCTCTCTCCTTCACTCTCTCCATCTATGGGATATAGTATGTCTGTACATACTTGATCAATCAAGCGATTTACAGTCACATTTGCGATTTCCGCACACAAATATCACATTGAGGTTTTCGTTTCATTCTCAAAAAATCGCTGCACCGAATGTAAATACGAAACACAAAAAAACAAAAATTCCCGGCCGCTGATAAGCTCGACTTAGCACACATCCGCGGTAGGGTACATACTAGAGTATTACGCGTTCTAGTACTGTGGGGGGGTGTATGTGGGGTGTCGCTCTATGGTAATATTGTGGGTGATAGAGAGCCATACGGTTCGGCTTGGTTCGGGATCGAGTCGGATCGGTTGGGAGAGCTCCAGGCTCGCGACGCGTTCGCGAATTTAACAGAATTTCAACTGAAATTGAACTCAAGATGCCGTTGAGCATTTTTTCTTGGGTGGCGGTCGAGACGCTGACGTCGCAGTCGCTGTCGCACACACAGTCCCCGACGCCGACGCCGACGCCAACGTCAACGATGCCGACCCTCGGTCACCCACAGAACGCGAGCGATCCACACTATCCAACACGAAATGGAATAGAAGTGGAGATACATTTGGTCTAGGGCACAATCTTCGTTGATTCGCTGAACAAATGTCCCATAAGCGAACGGACACATGAGTGTTTCGGGTGAACCTTGCAATGGAAAAAACTTAAAGCTCTACAAAAAAAAAAGATGAGAGACTAATCTGAAGGGCTTTTTCTTATCCACTTTTGTGGAAACCACAAAATTCCTGTTTGGATAATTTTTAGACCCATAAAATACAGCAGAAATATAAAATGAATTCCAAATACATTGAAAAATATAGTCTCAAGATTTAATATAAATCTTTTAACATAAATACGTATGCAAAATAATAGTTTCTGTTTTATATGAGCTAATTTTTTCTTTGAATGATTTAAATGCTGTTCAATACAGACACCCATTTCTTTATATTTATATCGACTTTTCGAAAGGGACCCCTGTTTTGCAGGGCAGTGCTGGCCAGAGATCAAATATGGGGAGGCAAGACCCAGAGCCACATGTGTGTAATGGAACATGGGGCAACATGTGTGCCTCTGTGTTCCGTATCTCTGTATTTATCTGTATCAGTAATTGTGCGACTGTGTGTGTGTGTCAGAGTTGGGGGTGGGGGTGGGGCGTGGCAGCGACAAAAGACGCTTTTTATACCCAACGCCCATTGCCTAATTAAGCATATCGAATCCAGACCCCTAAGGGGCTGGGCTGGGGTTTTCGGAGAGAACTACCATCATGATGAATGTTAAATATGTATTCAACGATGGTATATCATGTATATATATATATATATATATATATAGTATATACTTTAACAATTGCATAAGCCTTTTTGCAATACGAAATATGGAAATGAGAACCGTATCCGTACTTTGAACCTGAACCAAACCCCCGCCCCATAAATGCATGCAGATCTACATTTCTGTATGATAGCATTTTCCTGGTGGTATCTTCCAGCAAGTGTCCGATATTTGAGGAATGCCCTGAGGCTGGGCAAAACAAACACAGATGTGTGGAGTCCCATATAGACTCCGAACGGGGCAGTGGAAATAAACAGAACAGAACCGAATAGATCAGAGTATGAGAAAATATCAGGAAAAAAAAGGGAGCGTGTGTTGCATATCTAGGGAGAGCCCGGAGCTCCCAGAAGAATCGCAGTGCATTCGGTGCTCAGCATTATGGTCGCTTGATCTTTGAACTAAATTAATTAAGCACAATGAACACAATTGTTGTTGTTGGCCCGTCGCTGCTGTCAGCATCGAATGTATCCACCAGATACACAGTACAGTACAGTGCTAGCGGCAGCCACACACTGAAAGAAAGGAAATGCATTCAGCGTGTGGCCAATATTCTTGGGGTGTTCGTTTCGATTACCCTGGAAGGGACAATGGGGAACAGTAAGTACATATGTATGTATTTTTGATAATATACTATAAGAAATTATTTATTGTACATTCTTTTCTGCATAATCCAAGGGATTTTTTTTTTTTTTTTGGTTGTTATTTTGGTGTCCAAAAGTCTAAGATAATTTGTATCTCAAACACAAAACTCCTTCAAAACTTATTAAAGAGGAAAACTTTTAATATTTCTGCACAAAAGCTGCAGATGTTCTTTACTCTTTGGCTTTATTTCTACTTTTTGAGAAGTTTATGCAAATTTTGAAATCATAATTATACCAAAATTCTTCATTGCAATTGCACCACCAAACATTCCTTAACACCACATAAATGGTAATAGTTTCGGTATTTATAGGGTATAGGGTATAGGGTATAGGGTATTTAGCTAACGCTACGCTTGGGGGGATGTTTTCTTAAGAACATACTTTTTTCGCTTTCAATTTCCGTTGTTTCTTCTTTTTGTCTGTTTATGGTTGTGTTTTTCTGCGGGTCTCTGCCGAAAGGGTGGCATATCCCTGTCCCGTGTCCAGTGCCCCAGGCCCAAGGCCCAGACTCGCGTCTGTGGCGGCGTGCAGCATTATGTTTTTGTCTCGGTAATGAGTTGGCAGCGCAGTCGTCATCAGCAGAGACAGCAAACTCCATTGCGACTGCGACTGCGACTGCAACTGCGACGCTGCATGATGGTTCTATATGTGTTGGTGAGCTATCCCCTTCCTCTCATTATTATTGCTGTTCTGCCACGTTCTTCTCCTTTTTGTACGCTTTCAAAGGGTATTACAATCTGGCTAAGTCCCAGCCCATTTGGGGTGCTAGTACGTGGCAGGATCGGATCTAGTTCCATAAGAAAAATCGTTTTAAAAACAAGTTTTCGTGAGAAAATATTAGTAGTTTCTGCAAATAATAGAACCAATCTTGGGGAATGGTTCCCAATGTTACATAAATTGGTTTAAAAGAATCGATATTGGAACAAATATTCCCATGGCTGCATTTCCGCTCAAACACGTCATAATTCTATCGATGCGGAGTCGGCGTTTTGGGTCGGCTACTGATCGGCTATTTTGCCTATTAGTCTATCCCTTTCACTCTATTGGGGACATAAGAAATATAATTAATACATGAAACACCTATGCGAAAAAGCCACGCTGAAAATGAGAACGAGATAGTCAGATCAGCGAGTAACGAGAGCAAAACGAACGAATGAATGAAAGCAAAAGCAAACTTTTCGGTTGCTATTGCTTTTAGGAGCAATAACCTGACTTCAGTCATCTATCAACTATTGGCTGTAAAGAAATGAAAACGAAAATATCTATATTTCCCTATATTTTTCTTCTATATTGTTCAATATTGTTTTTTCATGGCAACTATCGGTTAAAAATCAACTTAAATTAAGAGAACTCCTCCTAAACTCTGGCATAAGAATAGTAATATACATATTTGTTAGAGTATCAAATGTATCGTCATAAGCAGCCTGCAATCCCCTTTTATTTTTAATGAATTTTATTGAGCGCGACAGCAGCAAACAGATAGATCGAGTGGGACAGAAAGTCATAGAGGGTGAAGAAGTGATATCAAAGCGGGGAATGGGTGACCAGCAGCTTCATTTACGGCTTTTGTCAACGCCTCGAATTAAAATAAAGCCAGAGGAAGGGAGATAGTGAAAAAAAATAACCAAAATTAATTTATTTTTTTTATTGGCCCGATTGTTGTGTGTGACTCATACGATGTTTAACACTATTGATGGATGAAATTTAATACGGGGGAATTAGTACATAATGAAACTGGTTCCATCTACTTATGATAAATTAAACAATTTGTGGAGATTAAACGATGCAAATGAAATAATACTAATGGGTTCTACGACTATCAATTAGTAGCATATCATACCATGTCCCTTCATTAAAATCGAATTTCCTTACATATTTCTATGCGGAAAATCAATGAAGAGAATGATTTTTGTCGCTGCCAATGGGTTTCATTCAAAACAAAATCCAATCCAATTCCATTTTCTAACTATTGTGCATCCCATAGCTGAAACCCAATGAAAACCCGCCACTGAAACATTCGACTGCCACTCGTAGACTCATTTAAGATAAGATCAAATGGTTAAGAACGGGAGATAAAAAGCGAAAGATTTGGACAAATGTGAGAAACAAATGTGACACATGGGATGTGCACTGGATGAAATTGGAATTTGAATTGGAAGCGGAATACGAATACGAATACGAAAACGAATTGAAATGAGAATGTCAGCTCAAGTGTCAATCAGGCGCTGCATTAACAAAAGCAGAAAAACAAAAAAAATCAAATTAAAAGAGAAATTTCGTTGTTGTTTTTGGATGCCACCAGAAGAAGTGTGGGGGCAAATCCGAGCGAGAAAATGAAATGGATAAATAACCTCGATCCACAATGTATCTCCATATGTACATGCATGCATGCATGTGTGTATGTGTGCATTAGAGATGGTCACGGGAAGGCTTTTCCCGACGCACGAAAATGCATATTCCAGCAAAGGAATAGTGGAAAATTCTTTCTTATAGCCTCTTTACCATCGATATCGGAATAGATGCGTCTTGAGTATAGCTTATTTGCATTATTAGCAACAAACTCTATAAAGAACTGGCCCTGATTTGTTGCAATTCTTTTTCGTTCCTTGGGAGTTCTTCCTCACAACATGAATACAATCGTTGCTCTCCTCCCATATATTCAGCAGTGTCTTCACAAAAATGATTCATTTCGTTGAAAGCGTTTCTTTTCAGGAATATACATATGCTATGCTATACATAGCTATTCTGCTCTTTATTTTTTTAGTGGTGATAAATGCATCAAATGCAAAAATAATCGAATACTACCCCACCAAAAAAGCACGCCTCATGTCCATCTCTAGGCCGTTGCCAGTATTGACTGATGACGAAATTGCTTTACCCCGTCAGTCAACGAACCAAATGATAAACTCTCCTGCTCTCTATCTTTCCCTGCCATTCCGCCACTCTCCACAGAGCACTTTCGCAGTGCAATTTGTTTCTGTTTTCCTTTGTCTCTGCTTCTGCTCTTCCCTAAACGCGTGCGCAGCTTTGCCAGCGATTAGTCTCATCAAAAAGAAGTCGAACGAGAAGCCCAAGACAGAGGCGAAGACGAAGACGAAGCCGAAGACTGTGAGTAGGAAATAGGCACAAAACAGAATGCAAAACACGCAATGTCAAAACAGAACACGAGCAAAAATCATGTGCAATGCATTTCAGATGTTGTAACAGTGCACATCATAAGGAGAGTGGCTCTAATGGAACCGCTTTTGCAATCCCAAGTAAATCCAAATTTTTTTATTACAAATAATCTCAATAGTCTCATTCGTCCATAGGTCTTCGGCGCTCTGGGTGTTCTACAGAATTGTTGGAGTATTACCCCACTGTTGTAAAAAGTTTTTTCCCAAACCTCAAAATAGCAACTATATTGCTCTGTAAATTCGCATCAAAAGACTCGCAATTGGCACACGATCGTAAATTTGATGCGCAAGTTTGAAACATAAATCTATACAGACCAGTTTAATACCTATTTATGTATCCTTATAAGTATTTTTAATACGAACGCAAGCGGCACTCGACCATGCATATGGCAGAGCAGCAACAGGGGAAGATCTCTCCTATATAAACATCATCAATTCCTCTCATTAAACCAGATACTCAAATAGCTTTTAGGAGTATATTAAATTTTTGGTCAAAGTGGATGTGTGTAATACCCAGAAGGAAGCGTTTCCGACCCCACAAAGTACATACATATATATTATTGATCCGTCTGTTTGTCCGTCCGTTTTGTTTAACGCATAGTTCTCAGAGAAAAAAGGACCAAGATCAACCAAATTTTGTGAAAAGGCTGAATTAAGTTTGTTACAAAATTTTGCCACGCCGCCTTCCGTACCCACAAAGGACGAAAATCTGTGGCACCCACAACTTTGAAGAAACGAGAAAATCAAGAACCTGTCCTAGAAAATGATCTAGAAATAGGGTAGATTGCCGGCTTAGATAGGATCACTTTTAGAGCCCGAAGGAAATTGCAGTGGCTACTCACAGACTCTTCCTGGTGCAGTGTGCACCATCTGGCATAGGGAAGCGAGATGGCAAAACATATACTGACTGAGTATCGACCCTAACCATTTGATTGATGGATCTGATGGTTTGATTGATGGTTCGGACAAGTAAAAATATTTGAAGGCCAATATAACTAATTGGGACTTACCCTCATTGTGGACTGGCGGCTGTTGGAGCTGAGATCCAGCATGGAGCTGGCCCTCAGCCTGGCTGCGCTCTGGTCCTGACACTCGATGCACTTCCCTGCGATATTTTCCGTTGTTAGTGTTATCGATGGTGTCGTGGATGTTGTGGATGTCGATGTCGATGGCGATATCGATGGCGATTTTGTTACATTAGTTAAAGTCGCTGTGAGGCTGTTGTTGTTGTCCATTTGCAATCTCTCGTTGTTGTTTGTGTTGTTTGAATTGTTGGTGTTGTTGTAGTTTATGTTGTTACTGGATGTATTCTTGGCGTTGGCATAGAACACCTGCGATATGCTCCGAAAGATGGTGCGATAGCCCCTCTTTGGTTCTGCATCGCCGGCCATGATTGAAGAATACCACGATTATGAGTATATAAACCGAAAACGAATAAAAACTTTGGCGCGATTCTCTCTTCTTCTCGCATTTATGGATCAGTACTTTTTTTTGGATGTCTGGCAAACGAAAAAGAAACGAAAGCAAAGTAAAGACAACGTCTGACACGAGCAACACCTTCTAATCAGACTTCTTATCGCTGATAAGCCTCTCAAGACCCCGACTGCTCTGCGTGGGTGATGCAGGCGCATGGGCATGGGCAGGAGCAGGGGCAGGGGCAGGGGCGGGGAGCCCTCCGGTCTAGTTTAGTTCGGGCACAAATCAATAGCACAGAAAGCAAGAAGCATAATTATACACAAAATCGGATTCGGACACGGATCGTACCCCTACTCGGACCTTCTATCGAGCACAAGACGACGACGACGACCAACTAAAACGCTCTGCCCCGCGGAGCGCTACTAAGCGCCAGCACCGACACCGACACCGACACCGACACCGTCGTCGGCGTCGACCGCGTCGCGTCGCTGTCGTAATCGGTTTTCTTGTTATAGTACTGTATTTTTTCTATTTACTTTTTGTTTATGACTTGTTGTTGTTGTTGTTGCTGCTGCTCTTGTAGAGCGCTTCTAGGCGCACAGTGGGTGTGGTGCCATTTGTTTAGGGGAACTTTACACCCTTCCAGTTCATTTCGGAGGAAAGCTTTAGGAAAGCTTGATAATTTCGGAAATAGTTCTTTGGGTTTCATATTGGTTTAGTTTTTCTAAAATCTTTTGCTGAAATGCCAATAAAAACCGTCAAACCAATGACCTAAGATATTCAAAATAGATCAACTAATTTTTGGGCATTTTCCACCTTTCTCCGATGTAAGAGTCTTGTTAATGATCCACAAGTTAACAACGTTTCTCTATCAAATTTGGGATTTAATATACTTTAATTTAATTGAAACTTTTTACATATATCCTGATCACCGAAAATATTAGCGCATAAAAATACGAACTCAAAACAAAATCCTGCTTTGCTGGAAAACCCAGATACAGCTTGTCTAGAATTATACATTTGTAGATAGTTTTAGATATTTCCACATTTAATTTTTTACTCATAATATTACAGATCATTGAATTGTGACTATAATTATAGTCTTGTGGCTGGGCTTGTCCATTTTCAGGATAAGCATGCCACTCGCCACGGGTCCCCTCCCACCAACGTTAGCTATAATTAGAGTCCCAAGTCTTTAAAATCTGAATAACATAAACAGGTAGGTTTAGCATTTTGATTGGCCCACTCTTAGCAGAAAACTCTCCGTCTTTTTTCAATATCTCTCCCTCTGCAGAGCTTTCTTCCGATGATGGCCCGCATTCAAATCGGTTGACAATGTAAATTTATTGAAAACCTGAAACCAGATGGCCATCACAATACCCGATTTCTGGATGGCGGCTCAATTAGCATGAGTGAGAGAACAATAGTGACGAAAATTGAACAAAAGGCGGGGAGACTTTCGGGAGTCTATTGTCGCAGATCCGATCGCCAGCAAAACCTTTATCAATCACAGAGACAGACTTTCACCGAAATAAAAACAAAATAAAAATAACCACTTTGTTAGCATACTCGTATGTACATATGCAGATGATGCAATTGCCCATCGACTGGTAGCCACTGTGCGGTTAATGTTTTACACTTTGCGGGGTGGTGGTGCTGGTTATCAATGCCTACGGTTGTTGCCACCGTCATATCGGTTGAGAGTGTGTGAAGTATTTCCCCTATGTACGATAGTACCGTACCATTCCATATACACACTTGAACCTACACTTGTGTGTGTGCATACGTAGGTGGGTTGATGTTTGCCATTCTGCAGGCGGCCGTCGGCTGGGTGGGAGCCCCAATTACTGGCGTATTACTCACTGGCTGACTGCCACTGCAACTGATAGTAGTACAACAATTACTGGCTACATATTTAGTCCCTTATTGCTGGTGTTGTTGGTGGTGCTACTGCTGCCACTGCCATTGCTAGTGCCACTCGTACTGCCACAGCCACGGGGTTCTGTTTGCTGGTTACTGGCTACTGAGTATTGGAGCTGGCAGATGCGCTCATTGCAATTTCGAAATGGCAATCGTCACGTACGCGCCTTAATTAAATGCCGTTGCGTTTGCAAATCGAATAACAAAATCCGAGGCGACAACAAAATACAACAGAAAAAAACAACTCAATTATCAATATTCCAACTGAGGTATACCCGAAACTCGGGGTTTGAGTTCCACAAAAGACTCCAACGCCAAGAGATGCCAATAAAGCATATGCCCATATCCAAACAAAATGATTTTCCATAGATCGATGGATAATTGTGCTAAAAGTTTGGTCACTCCCACTATTACAGACGATCGGATCTACAGAAGGGCATGCCTCGCGATCGATCTTATATGTACATATGTATATATTGTTGATGGGGTTACAGTTACACCTACACAATACGCTAATACGTTATATGCTTATGCTTGTGTGTATGTAGCCTCTGTAATCGCCGATTACCGGGTACAACAAAGGCTTGACGCAACGCACAACAAGTCAACGAAGGCCCCACCGAACCGAACCGAACCGAACCGAACTCAAAATCTACTCAACGCAATGCGACGCGACGGTTTCCCGGTTGACACACGACTAAACCAACTAACTGGCCAAGTGGCATACAAAATTTAAAAAAAAATAAATAAAATCCAAAAAAGAGCACAACAAAAAAGAAAAAGAGTCCAAAATCAAAACCGAAAACCCCAAAACAAAACAAAACAAAACAACAAAAGTAGAAAACAATACAAAAATAGGAATAGGAGGAATAGGAATAGATGTAACCCAAAGCTGAAGAAACACCGGCCGCACCTCTGCCCGCTGGCCCCACGTCTCTGGCTCTGTCTCTGCCGCTAGCCCAGCCCCCAGGCCGACGATCCAAGGTATATTAAGTGGGAAGGTAAGACAGCTACCAGCTCAATGCATACCTACTGTTTTCTGCATTTTGCGAAGCTATAGGTAGGTCACCTTCTTTTGAATATACCTTTCGATGAGGAGCTACAGCGGTATAGCGTCAGCATTAGCGTCGACAGCGGCAGCCCCCGCAAACGCCAACAGCGAAATGACAAGCGGAAAGGGAGAGACCCCAAAGAGAGAGAGCGAGAGTGAGCGAGGAGAGCGTGCCGACTGTCTACTACCCCGCCCTGCCCTATGCGCACTATATGCTTCAGCGAGATCATATCAAGGCAATGTGCGTGTGCTGATATGCCCGACGAAGACATTGTGCAGGGTGCCTATAAAATGCCACACGAATGAGTTTTGAATAATATTTACATTTATTCACATGAGTGTGTTCGGGAGTTAGTGAGTGATTCCATGCGTATGTGTGTGTGTGTGTGTGTGTGATTGCGAGTGTTAGTGAGTAAATTTCATAGCAAAGGCGGCCAAAAACGCGAGCGAGTTGCGTTGTTAACGCGCGCAAAACAATGCCGAAACGCTGATTAGTGGAGCAGCAGTGCAGGGGGGCTGGGCGGAGGGGGATCGTCTCAACAAAATATAAATGACGAAATTATAGCAGCAACTAGTTATAAACAATGCACATTAAATGCCAGAAGCAGCCAAAGCCAACAAAAGAAATAATCCAAGCCCAGAAAAAACAATCATTTCGCATGTCGCATGACTCCAGAAGCCACTTGCAAAATAAGCAAGAAACCGAAGGCTGTTGCTATTCGGCTAACGAAACTCGTATATGTATACCCTTTCAGATCGATCATATCATATCTATGGTGTGGTATTATAATACATATGTACATAAATCCTATTTGGATAAAGTTTGTCTGTTTTTCCATCTAATGTATAATTCTGAACTGATCCAATTTCCATCCAACTATACAATATTTGTACTCTACTTGTATTTCTGCTTCCTTATTTGTATCTTCTGAAAATCATAGTACCCTTTTGGAAGTGCATAACACGCCAGAGAAACGCTCCGAAGACGATGAAGCAGAAGGTATGGATGGTATAACAGGTTGACTTGTGTGAAAGGTACATAAATCAAACGATCATTTACATACTCGTATATATGCACATATATGGGAACCGGTGATGAATCTTTGTTTATTTCTGTAACATTTTTCTGAGTTTTAGATGGGATTTTCAACTCTTTAGGCCCTTCTATGAATTGAATTCCTAATGAATGTAAATTATCAGAATATTAGATGCCAGAGCTGATCGTAGAGATCGGACTCACAAAAAATGTATGACAGGCAAAAGCAAAATAAAAATATTCACAAATATCAGAATTTTCAATCGAATCAAGTTGAGAATATTTAGAAAAATGACGAACACAAATAAGAAAAGCAGCGCCGGCATTGGCGGCACTGGGTGCCCTGCTGCCCCCTCGAAACAGCCCAGACAGCAGTCCAAGGACTCCCAGGACTATAGTTCTTTCAAAACAGTGCTCTTCTACTGCATGCTGACCGTGTGCCTGCCTGTGGTCACATTCTTTCTGTTGAGGGCCGTCGTTCTGGATGGCTTCTTCGAGATGAGCAAGCTGAAGGTTGACATTTTCTCGGCGGTGGGCGCCGTGGTGTCCTTACACATGGCACTGGGACTGTACATCTACCGTGCCACCTGTGAGGTGCCCGTCATCAAGGCATCGAAGGTGGACTAAGCTTCACCAAGGACTGTTTACCATTTCCATTCCATATCTGTCGTCTAGTGTTTTGTGCCTATAATTGTGCATTAAACAACATCGAGTGTCTTCGAGAAAATATATTAAATATATATATATATTAAAAAATTACAATTAGGTAGGACGCTGCCTAGAGAAGGCATTATATTATGCCTCCTGCAGGATGCTGAGCGAGGAGGAGGTGCGCAGCTCGCACAGCTCCTGCATGAGATCCCCGAAGAGAACTGGATTCACGTTCACACTGACCTTCATCAGGAGAAACCAATCCCCGATGGTGAGGTCGCGAAGGGCCCGCTGCACATGTCGTTTGGTCATGAAGGACAGCTGGCTGCGGATCATCTTCTCGCGCAGACTCTTGATGGACAGCATGGCCAGCCGGAAGAGGATATTCACGCCGGATATGATGGCTATCAGGAGGAACCAGCACCAGAGGAATACGAAGATCTTCTCGTTCAGTATGTTGAGGGGCAGGATGCACAGATTGTCCATAACTTTGACCGTCCCACTGGGCCCATACTTGAGCACCTCGCATTTGGAGATTTTTGGGAAAACTGTCGAGGACACTCGATTCCAGTGATCCCAATCGTAAAAGGGAAGGGTGGCCATGGCCTTCAGATATTTCGCCCAAAAGCCATTGAGAAAAACATCCAGAAAAATGATGTTCACGACCTGTTGCATGTTGGGGGGTGGTTGTTGTTGAATGTGTTGCAGGTTGCAGGTTGCTGGTTGCCGGTTGCAGCCAAAAGATCACTACTCACACTGATCAGACAGTTGAGGACCTCGCAGAAGACATATTTGGCCATGTAGCAGAAGTGCAGATCCTCGTGGTCGGTGGTGAAGTACTTGACCAATAGCCGGCGCCTGGTGTTGTAGGTCTCATCGGAGAGCAGGGCACCGCCCACCTGCGAGCAGAGCTGCTTCAGCCGCTGGCCCTCCCACACCTTCCACAGGCACGAGGGAAAGTAGAAGATGAGCGACTGGAAGAGCAGCAGAATGATGACCCACTGGTAGTAGCGGAGGTACTCGCGCTCCGACACGCCACTCCACTCGGGACCCACACCCTCGGCTATGAAAGCGGCCCTGGCATAGGCCTCGTCGTCGTCCACCAAGGGGCGCAGGTCCGAGCGGGATCTGGGATGCTTGGCCCGCCACTTGGCGTACGAATTGCTGGGAGCCGGCGCTTGCTTGGGTGCTTGTGTGCCGCTTGATGCATTGTCCAGCTTGAGGATGTAGGTGCCCATGGTCCAGCAGTAGGACTGCACGTACTCAATGTTTCTCTCCTCGCTTAGGCATTGAATGGGATCCCCGAAGTACTGACGCGCGGACAGCAGCAAGGAGCAGGTTATTAGGATGACAACCGTGCACTTGGAGTGGATTGTGAAGACGGCATCGTAGATGCGGATCGACTTGAATTGTAGATATTTTGACAAGGGCTTCACCGCCGAATACATTTCTTCTGCCTCGGGGAAGAGTTCCTCGAGGACCGCTTCCAATTCTTAATGTGCGCACCAGCTTTGTCATTCACTTTGCATCTGCCACTTCGCGGCACCGCTCGGTCTTGATAATTATTTTCCAGGCGTTGCAGGGACTCGCTGGCAAACCGATTATGGTTGCAAATTTACAGCATGAATTGTCGCTTATTGACATTTTCTTCAGTGCCTTCTGTGTTTCATAGACAAATGTCATTCCCTTGAATCAGAGTTGCATGCCGTGTTCCTATCGATTAATAGTCTGCTATTTTATCTTTTTTTTATGTGAAATTCAAGGCTCGTTCCAGCTCCATTAGTAACAGAAAGGCACAAAGTAAGATGGCGTTTTCTTATGCTTTTTTCTCTTTTCTTTCCCACATTGGACATCATGAAACTCATAAGCAGAGCAATTTTATTGGTTTCAGCCTAAGAGTATGCACCACTTTTTGGATTTGTAGAATGCATGTATGAAATGTAAAATCGTCGTGAGGTGCCGCCACGGAGACATGTAGTTGAAATGTAAAAAATAAAGAATTTAAAAGTCGCGAATTTTCTTTGGTTTTGTTGAGCAAAAGCCATTCAGATCGGTAGAGTTGAATCCCAAAGACCCTTCCAAACCCTGTCAGTCGATCGTTCTTGTTACTATACATTTTAATTAGTTTTTCTCAACTTTTGTGCTTGTTTTAATAGATTACTATGAGAATTCCCCAACATTACTCATAGTCATCATAACACTACACAGTAAACCCTTGTATTTCTGGATATGATTCACATTGTCGGTTTATTTGATCGGTTTTCAGCTCTAACTTATATTTCTATATTTCTCATCAGTCACTGCAGAGCTCTTCAGCCTTGGCCTCTCTCTGGGTCAGCACTTTCGTCCAATGGAGTGTGGTGGGGGGCTTGGGGGTCCATTTCGTGTTGCCAGTCAGTCCAGGTTCAGGAATCCAATTATCGAAGGTATCTGCAAGTAGGTAAAGCGCACACAACACAGCTAATTATCATAAATCAAATAAATTTATTTTCATTTTTGGGCTGACCTTTCAGCCACCAACCTTAAAGAAACAAAAAAAAAACATAAGAAATAATATACCACAAAATAAGCAGCACAGCACAAAAAATCAAGAAGAAAAAAACAATCGGTCGTCTAAAACTAATTGGTGCATGGAATAATTAGCAGAAATAACTTAAAGCAATTCGAATAGAGTATACACTAAATTGGGGATTGCTGTTTCTTTCACCAGATCGGAACAGTTTTACCTACACTTAAATTCGTTTTTCTCTTTGGGATCCCAAGGAAAATAATTTAATTTTTCACAACTCTTTGGGGGAACATTTTCCTTACATTTTCTAATTTGAAGCTCAAAATACAAAATCTCCAAGATTTTGAAGCATCATCTATCCCCAAGCAAACCAATTTGCAATTAAGCAAGTATTCAAAAACCATTTGACACCTCCAACTTTAAGATCGACTCGAGGCATCGTTAAACATAAGAGACGAGACGAGACGAGAAGAGAAGAGAGACTTACCTCATCGGATCGTCACAAGGCATGAGTAAAGTACAGTACAGCAGAAGAAGAGACAGAAACAAAGAAGACAACCATTAAGTGGTGTTCCCTGAACTTGACCTCCAATGGCATTCAGTGTGACCGACCGACAACGCGAGTGCGAAGCACAAGTCTCGACGAACACGTCACGATCTGTGGATACGTGGATCCGTGGAGCACCAAATTGAGCGTTAAGAGCTCTTTGCTTGGCTTCCTTTTTGTACGATAATTTCAATAGTTATTAATTTGTTTGGCCTGATGAGTGGGCATATTTTATTGTTTGTTGTTTTTCTGTTGAAAGGTTTAAACTTCAGTTTGGGGTGCAAAAAGTATGCGGAAGTTTTCGTAGTATCTTTTAGATACTTGTTGGCTTCTGGGTTCTTAAAGCTTGACGGCTTTTGCTGTTATTCTGACTAGCAATTTTCCAGATTTCTTTTCCCATTCCCATCCCCCATCGTCATCGTTCCACAACGCTGGGCGCAATAATAATTAAGATACTAGAGCGCAAAGGCACCGATACGAGTACCAGCAGATACTCGCTGTTGTGGCTCTGGCAGGGAGTCGATAGAGCTTTGTCATGATGTTCTTTAACCAGTTAACGTGTCCGAGCCACGTAAGTACGAGTAATTGTATCTGGTGGATACATTTAAGAGGCAACTGCGGCTAAGCAGCCTGTCTTTGTGGCTTGTGGCAGCAAGTCAGCCCAAAAACAATGGTTTATTATTTATGCCAGAGGCGGCCTGGCCCCTTAGGCTCCGCTCCTGCATATGGTCGGCATATTTTCTACTCTGGTCAAAACGTTTTGGGCCACAGTTGGCCAAAGATTGCCACATCAGTTGCCAGATGTGGACCAAACTTTTGGGCGAAGCCAAAAGATCTTAGACAATCGCTGGACAATCGCTGGACAATCGCTGGACAATCGCTTATTCAAAGAACCCAATTAACCCCAAGAAAAACCTTAAACTAACCAGAGGTGTTTATACTCCAATTATGGTTCTAGATTGCTTCCAGCTCATGATATCATACAGTAGCCATACCCCCAACAATTTGTTGGCCAAGATTTTCATTTAAAATTCAGTTCGCGACTGATCAATCAGCCTTCCCCCCACAGCGAGTGAGAGGAGAGGGGCATTCACCTTGACTAACTATCGTTTGACGCCCGAAATGCATTCACAGTTCAGTTACACCGATCGAACTCCAGCCGAAACATATACTTATATTTGCATGGGTACATATGTACAATTATGGGAACGGATGTCGGATGCTGTAATCGAAGTCAAACGAGAAAATCGGGGCCAAAACCCTTTTGGCGACTGGTTTGTGAAGCAGCTTCTGCTTCTGCTTCCGCATTAGCCATACGAGTCGAGTATTTGTTTGATTTATAATTCTTTTGTTTCCAAATCCAAGATGAAATATGTTGTCTATGGCCTCATGCCAGCCTTGACCGTGCCCCAGCCACAGTTCCAGCCCCAGCATTTAATTAGCAAAGCGGGCAAATCAATGTTAACTTCATTTAGTTTATTTATCTGTTGTTTGTTTTGCTCTGAACAGAATGCTCTGCATGTTTCGATTAGCGAATTTGCGCTAAATAGACGAAGCCCACTGTAATTAAGAAAAGTGTGGAATGGGGGCTACCCTGCACAAAAAGAATACCAAGAAATGGTTAAAGAAACTCCGGGGTTCTAAGGAATCATCTGCGGATGCAGTTCGGGGGGAATTCAATATTAAATAACTTTTAAGTCTTTAAACATTGCTTATTTGCATAGTTGACCCATCTCCATTACCTTTTGATGTGTCATCGCAATGCTTTAAAGGTTTAAAGCTCCTCCTCTACATTAAATATTCCATTTATTCTTCATAAAACGTAATTGTTAATGAGTCATATCTGAGGCAGCTATGGGATAATCCAAACGGATTTGTATTACTTTCTAAAACATAAAGAGACCAGGACATAAAGGGGACGATAGCTAAATAATTACAGAACATTGTAAAGCAAATATACATATAAGGGATTTTAAAATACTTGAATATCAAGATAAGACCCTAGCCTGGGATTCACAACAAAATTCCATTACTATCCTCGAGGATCCCATATCAGCTTCTGTACAGAACTGAGGCATTGTGACTCACCTTGGTGCTAAAATCATCCTCAGGCTGTTCTTGGGGCGGTGCCATTGCTGCTGGATCTGCTCCGGGGATATTTTCAGCCTGCCAGCTAGTTACAAACGATAATGATTTGCACTAAAAGTCCATAAATTGTCATTTCTTCTCTTGATAAACTCGCGAACTCAAACAGGAAAAAAAAATACAAGATGATACTGTTTCTAGAGTCGCGCTTGATCTAACAAAAACGTTGATACTTTATGGACTTCAATGAACCACCTCGTCAGGTGCTCAGCTCGAGACTGACAGACAGAGCCCGACTTCGTTACCGGCTTTGACTATTGATAGTCGACCAAGTCTCTCAGGTCTCGGAGTCTCAGGTCTCGCGAGTCGGCCGCAGGTTGCTGTTTATAGCCATAACTGGTTCTGGTTTTGTATTCTTCTGGGCTTCGGGATTTTCTCTCTGTACAGAAAAAGAATCATAATAAATTAGCCCACAGACTTTGTTGGACCCATTGGCTTGTTCTTGGCTCTCTGACGTCACTTGAACTTGATGCTTGAACTTTGAAGCTGAAGGTCGGCCGACAACGTGAGCTCATATGAAAAGCGAAATGGAAATTCGAATTCAAATGCAAATGGAAATTGTCATGCAAAAGTGGAAATGCTCAAGCGTATAGCAGGCCAGCCATCGGCATGGCATTGGTAATAAGTGGCTAACACACACACACACACACACACGCATACACAGGCGCACTAAAATGCAGGCGACTGCAACGCAGAAAACAAGTGCGTGCCGACACACGACGAAAATCGCCCTTGAAACGCTAGCAAACAGCGCAATTGCCGGCAAAGTAGCGACTTAAAACACTCTAAAAATTGTATTTTCGCTTTTATTGTGTGGTGTTATCGTTGCAACTTAAGAGGCCCTATTAGTCGACTATACTTAAGTGTTTATCCCTATACGATAAGGATAAGCATAGTTTGGACTAGGTTCATCAGGGGTTTATAATGATTTGCCAAATAAATCCTTAAAATCTATCAAACCCTAGGAAGAACTTCTGGCTCAATCCATAGGAATATTGTAACGATCGAATTTGCGGACTGAGATATTATCTTTGAGCGAGTACTGGTAGATAATCATTGAGGCCAACAAATTCCTAAAAAAAATTATTAAATTAACGTATTGGAAATTGACTGTTTATGGAGTGCCCCTCGGCCCCGTTGACAAGTCTTGGATGCATGACAGCCAATGATCGATTCGCGTCGCGGTTTGAATGGATTCAGAGGCGTTGCGGCTTTGCGCCCACTCTCGGTTTGGGGCATAGCCGGAGCTGATCTCGACGCGATCGTTTCTAGTTTCTAAAAATTTATCGTTTTAAGTTCAATGCAAACACGAATAGAGACCAAAAGCGCGAGGCCAGATGGGGAGAGGTAGAGAAACAAGAGTGCGAGAGTGGCTGACTCGCTCGAATGGCAATTCGGAGTCATAGTCCAATAATTATCAAATGTTAGTAGAGTGTAATTAAAAGAAAACCGTTCCAAGGTTAGCCGCCAAGCACACAGATACCCAGAGTACCCACAGAGACACACAGACAGACAGACAGACAGACAACTAATTCGCTTGTCGGCCATATAAATAATTTATTTGTATCTTTGATTAAACATTTTCCAGCACAGCTATCACCGCCATCACACCCATTACACCCACCCAACCTCTTGTGAAGAGGCGGCAGCCGAATTTGCTTAACTTAACTTTTATAAATAATAAATCTGAGGCCCTTGTCGTGCCCCCAGACCCGTCCAGCCTCCAGCGGCGGCAGCTCCGCTTTGATGCCTGTCAAGGGGCAAGACAACTGAGAATTATAATTACTTTCCATTCAACTTTGATGACTTGAAACCTCATAAGCTGGCTACTCAAACTACAAATCAACGATTGACATATGCAGGTTCGTTGTGTGAAAGGAAGAATAGTACTTCTAGAGCTTGAATAGCCTACGATCGAATAATCGCACAATTATGGGAGAGCGTGTTCTCCTGATGGGCCGAGGAGTCTGAGGATTCTCGGCCCAGACGGGTTTTTATACCCGATACTCAAAATGAGTATTGGGGTATATTAGATTTGTGGTAAAAGTGGATGTGTGTAACGTCTAGAAGGAATCGTTTCCGACCCCATAAAGTATATATATTCTTGATCAGCATCAATAGTCGAGTCGATTGAGCCATGTCTGTCTGTCCGTCTGTCCGTCCCTATTAGCGCCTAGTGCTCAAAGACTATAAGACATTCTTTGCAGGAATATCTTTACCATCTTTTGCCACCCACTGTTGCCGGAACCGCTTTGAATATAATGGACTATTTTAGAATTCGTATTTCAACACTTGTTTTCTTTTATTGCAGAAAAGTTCACAAGACTAGAATCAACGATGACGACGGGTGGCGCAAGCATCGATATGACGGTTGACCTCCTCGAGGCCAAGGACGGCCTGTGCGGAGGCGTCGTGGGTGCAGACATTGCCCTCGGCGAAGACGGCGGGGATGCGCTCGTTGGTCGACTGCTTGATGGTCTTGATGGAGGAGCGGGCGTTGATCAGGAAAATGGAGGCCTGGACGTAGAACTTGGCCATGCAGGACTGCCTCAGGACAGAGTTCTTATAGTTCTGGCACTTGTTGTAGGTGCGTCCCAGGTTGTAGCTGCCGAAGGCAAGCTGCTGGGAGGCCGCGCTCACATCGGTGGCGATCTCGGCAGAGGTATGGGAAGCAACAACGCCGCAGCTGTGCATCTCCTCATGGGCCGCGTCCAGGATACGGGCAATCTCCTCATCCTCGGCTGCCACACACTCGGGACTCTCGGCGCGACGTGATTCCAGCTGCTCGACGGCCTCTTCGAGCTCCTGCTGCGGCTCCAGAACAATCTCCTCGTACTGGTGCACCAGGGCCTCGCCGGTACTCTTTCCGATCTCGGCCATCTCATCCCCAACGCTGCGGACTTGGGCGTCCAGCTGGCTGGGAATAGCCAGGGGCTGAGCCCAAGCACTTGCCACGCACACGGCTAGAACGACGGCTACGATTGACTTCATGATTGCTGTTCCTTGGATTTCCTTGGATTGTGGCTTCTGTGCATTGCCCCCCTATATTTATACCCCCAAAACCAGAGAGATTTTCAGTCTGAGCCTTAATCTAAATTGGCCGTCAATAAATGGGATTCGGTTTGGCTGGGATTGTAAATCAATCAAACAATAGATTGATTGGTGAACTTTACATTCGAGTCGGAACGAGTAGTGGATCGTTCACGTATTTGGATTTTGATTGCGATCGACTGCAGCTAATAAAAAGCAAATAGGTCAGAAAATGCTTCATTAATCCGATAGAAATCCAACAATCTTTAATGCGTTTCATCAAAGGAAACCCCAGATCCTAAATACCATAGCTTAATGGGATTCTAAAGCTTCTAAATTTGAGATCAGACCCAGATAAGCCCCATTGAAAAAATATATATGTGATGTACATCAATTTTGCTCAAGATATATCAATGGCGATGGAGAAGGAAACCCACAACTTTTGTCCTAAAACTTTTTCAAAAGGCACTCTGAAAAAATCGTGTACAAAAACATTGTAAGGGCTTACCTTACTATTTATATTATCTTTGGCCATCAAAAGTGAGTGTACGATTCGTACCCCAAGGGTCTATAGAAAGGAAATACCTAGACAGACAGAAGTGGGTCAAGAATATGAAATGTATTCCGATCACAGGAAAGATTAAAATCCAAGCTGAGAGATAAATCCATTCAAAAGTGCTTGGCTGATGCATCAAGCTGTTAACAATCATCCCTTATATGTATGTATATACCCCCATACAATAGGAATACAATACAACAATCGAGTGCACAAAAGGTTCAATAACACCGTGGAGCGTGTGTCTGATGTCTGGAGTGATGCCTAAGATTGGATCGATTGAATTTCCACGTTCCTTCTGTTGATCAAATTCAAAATTAATGCTGACTTTTAATCGAGGGCTATAAATTATATGACAATATCTTCTATAATTACGGCCTTATTTAGATTTTGCCGATTATAACGACTTGAAGTGGCGAATCCAGTAATAGATCGTTATATCGCCCAAAAGCAAAAGGCAAATATTACTCGAGCGCTTATCAAAAACACACTCTCTTTCTCGCCGTGCTTCTCTGAGCAATCGAAGAAAAAGTAAATCGAAGTAAAGTAAAGAGGGTCTTGACCGGGAATCGTGCAAATTAAAATAGCCAAATGAGCACAAACAATGACAAAAGCCAAATAAAGGGAAATGTTTCAATTGGATGAGTAGCCCCCAAACATTTCACAGATAAAAAAGCTCTTGAATATATTTTAATTAGCTTGGCTTTCAGATATGCCTATCTGGGCACGGGGAGTTCGTTCTGGTACTGGTACTAGGCATATATAAAACAGAACAGCGACAGCGCAAATCCAACAAAATTCGATCAGCCATGAAGGGGATTATTTCGGTGCTATTTTTGGCCTTGGCCCTGGCAACTGCTGTAAGTAAATGGGGAATACTTTCTGAAAAACTATTCCGACCTATATATCTATCTGTCTGTCTCGTATCTGCAAGATAAGTTTCAATAGGTATCTTATTGCTACAATACCAGACATTCAGATCTCTTAGTTTAAGACATCTTTTTGAAAACATGTCAAAGCTTTTCCTTAATAGGAATCTTAATATATCATAAAAAGATCGATTCCCTGGGGAACTTTACTATCTACTTAAATCCCTCTCTCTGTACAGGTCTCAGCCCTAAACCTTGAGGAGATCCTCAATGTCGGTATGGAAGCGGGCTTGGACGTCGACATGGACGTGGACATGGACGTCAACATGGACATGGATATGGACTTTAGCATGGACTTCGCCATTGACTTTGCCAAGGAACTAGATTTGCCCGATGATGTGGAGATCGATCAGTTTGGTTTGGTGGACAAAATGGTGCATGCCGCCATCTCAGAGGCCGAATACTTGGCCAAGGGCATCGTCAAGATGGTGGAGCATCAGCTGCTGAAGATCTTCCTGTCGCCGTTCAAGCAGCTGGAGCAGGCAGCGGAAGACATCAACAACCGGGCCCACGAGAGCGAGGAGTGTGTGTCCAACGAGGCCGTACACGTGGTCAACACCCTGGAGTCGGCCACAATGGGCTTTCTGGGCTGTGGTCGCGATGCCACTGTCACCTCTGTCAATCTGATCCTCGACACGAAGAAGGCCGTCGTACAGCTGACCTTCGGTGGCTATTCCCTGGTCCAACAGTTGCAGTCCTGCCGCAGCGCCAAGCTCAGTTGGGTGAGGAAAATGTGCAAGACCCGTCTGTACATCAACGGTTGCATCTACGCCGTTAATGCCCAGAAGTCGATTCGTCATCTGATCGCCCTGCGTCGCACTGTTCCTGCAGTCGGCACCGATGCCCAGAGCTGCACCTCGGCAGCCACCGAGAATGCTATTTTCGGATTCGCCGAGATCAATGCCAACATCGATACCTGCATCGATACCATAATTCACTGAGTTTTCGGCAACTGAAAATACCAATAAATGAATGCATTATAAGCACACAAGTGTTCTGCCTGACTGGCGCGAAGTGCCCTTGAATAGGGTATAACAACAGCAAAGAAGAGTTGTACATATTCTATGAGTGATTATTATTCACTTGTGTGTCAATCAGATAACTATCTATATGGGAATATCTATATGGCCCCTCTATGGCAGTTGAAAGTTGAAAAAAGAGCTCTGAATGAACCAAAGACTGAACTAGTAAAGCTTTTATGTAGGAAAGCGCCCGCCACTAAGAGAAAATACTCTGAACTTTCGAGCAATCCATTAAAAAATGTGTGGTATACCCATAGCTAATCTTCAAGTTTACAATCTATTATCAATATTTAAGTTTGGGAATCCCAAGCTTTGCCACAGGGCTGTCTATCATCACTGCATACAGTACGGTACGGAATGGAATGGACAAAGCTTTTCGGGATAGATACAGGGCGGCCTCAGAATGAAATACAAAACTATTATGTGGGTTTTAGGTTTTTTTTAAATGTATTATTTTTATTTAAATTTGGTTTCAATATCGTTCATCTTGTTCAAATACAATAAATAAACATTTAAACTATTTAGTGGTATGTATTTATATATGTATGCATATATATATAAATCGTTTGTTTTCCTTTTCTTGTTAAATATTTTAAATAAGTGTATATGTATATATTGTATTTCATGGGTTTTCTTATTCTTTGCATAATTCATTTCATTCATTTTCCTTGCCTTTTCATAATTGGTTTTTCTTATTATTACCAAATATTTGACTTGGTTTTTCTTGGTTTTGGAAAGAAACATTTACTTGGTTGGGTTTTTTTTGTTTTTTTTTTTGTCTTTTCTTTTGGGGTCTTTTGTTATATAAGTAAATTGCTGTGTTCTGGTTTCAAATATCCCTCTATATATATATAAGTATATATATATTTTTGTATATTTTTATATCGTAATCTGTATATATGTATATACGGATGTATGTATTGTATAAGTAAAAGTAGCTTGTTACATAAATTCTAATGTATAAATTGTTGTCTACTCAACTGTATGATGCTCTCATACAAATACAACTAGGTTTGCATATTTCTGTGTGTCTGAGTGTGTCTGAGTGTGTGTGTGTGGGTGTCACCTGTACATATGTATAGTGTATGTACCTTTATCAATAATTAGTTAAACTGTAGCTATGTATAGGTTGGATCTCTTTGTGTGTGTGTGTGTGGGTGTGCATCCTCAACAAATTTCTTGTACCATACACAAGCACATTTTTTTTTTTTTTTTTTTTTTTTTTGGTACCTAATCTTAAGTAATTTTATTGGAGTTTTATCTTTTTCGTTTTCCCATTTTTCTTGGTAATTTTTATTAAATTTTTTGTTTTTATATATATATTTTTTATCATAGTTTTTGTTTTGTTTTTATTAGTCACAGATGTTTTTAGGCGCATTTTTGTTTGAAAAACGTTTTTAAATGAATTCAGCGTGTTGTATATAATTAATATTCGATTTGGTTTTTGTTTTTTATAGTAGAAAATAAGATACAAGTAAAAGGCAATTTTTTGTTGTAGTAATTTTTTCTGAAAAAATTTGTGCTTAATTTTTGTAGAAATGTTCGTTTGCCTGCTTTTCAATCATTTTGAAACAAAAACTTTAAAGAACTTTCTTTTTGTTTTTATCTTTGTTGGCTTTCATTTGATTTGATTTGTTTTGTTACATTTTTATAATATATAATATTTAGTTCAATAAATTCGTTACGACACATGGACTAAGACACAGCAAAAAATATTCATACTTAATTTAGATTCAGTTTCGAGTGTGTGTGTGTGTTTTTTTTCCCCCCCAATTTCTGTTTTCCCTATTTGGTATTGTTTTGTGTGTTTTGGTTTTTAATTGCATATTTCTTCACATTCAGCGATCTAAATGCGCTTGTAAATATTTTGTCAATTATAAATGATGGAACAGATTAAGAAGTTCCGTTTTCTTTCATGTCTTTGAAATTACATACACAATTTTGATACACAAATCTTTTATATGTATATCCTGCTAGCTTCCAAATATTTAATTATTTTCGTATTATGATTTTTAAAAGCTAAACATTCAACTCGTTTCAATTGTCAATTGTGGTGTTTGGTTGTTTTTTTTTTTTTTTTTTTTTTTGCTGATAACATCGAATTTGGTAATGTCTATATAAATTTCGTAACTTTTTTCGGTATTCTTCGGCTTCGGCTTTGATATGTTCGCTTCAAATGCGTGTCATGAAAATACATTTGCTTTGCTGATTCTGCAATACAACTCCGTTTAAAAATATACAGTAGAACCAGGCTACTACATAAGTACATAGGTAAACATATATACTTAATATGTGTCTATATATCTGTAGCTATATAGATTAAATTGGGCAAATATTCCTCTTACACTTGTTGTAATTCCGTTGCGGTTAGCGTTGAAAATTCATGCATTATCCAATCATTTTCCATTTTCCATTGTCCCATTTCCATTTCCATTTCCGTCTCCATTTCAATTCAATTCTTCTCCCGCATTTCAATAATATTATTAGAATAGTGTGGCCAAAGCTTATTGTCGGAAGCGTTATGCATTTTTCTTCTTTTTTTTTTAAGTTTGTTTTTGTAAAAATATTCCCGTTACTCGTTGCTGGTTGTCATTTTCATATACTGTCTTTTCCATTCATATTTGAACATTGAAAAACAACGAAAAGGAAATAACAAAATAATATATCAAATTTTTCATTGTTTAATTGAAAATTTGTTATAATTTTGTTGCTTGTTTCTGTTTCTGTTGTTGTTGCTGGTGTTGGTGTCTTTGGTAAGGCTATTTTGTTGTTGTCTAGTTTACTTTAGTTTTAGTGTTTGATGTTCTCGTCTCATCTCCTGGCCATTATTATTTTTATTCTCGAAAAATTATTAATCATTTTGGTCTTTGCTTACACTAATCACTAAATGTTATGTTTTTAATTTTTTTTTTTTGGTTGTATATATCGTTTTTTTTTTTTGTTCCTTGATAAATGTATATAAATGGTTTGTTTGTTGGTTTTTTTTTTTTGGCGTAACTTTTTTTCTGTGTGAGCTTGGTTTTTGCTTTCCTTCATTTTTGGTAAAGAAAATGTTTCAAAAAATGTTTAACAAACAATTCAGTAGTACATAGGCTTCATATGCGAAAAATTATGGGGCATATATGTACATATACATATGTATATATACACACACATATATGTATCTGTATATATATATATATATATATATATATACATGTATGTATATATGATGTATACATGTGTATGTATATAAATAAATTGTAAAATATATATATGTGTATATATGTATATATTTATGTATGTATGTTAGTTTTGCTTTGTTGTATAATTAAATATTGCATTTGGTTTCGTTGAACGTCTGGACAATTTGATATATTTATATATATATATGTATATATATATATATATGTGTATATATAATTACCTTTCGATTACTCGTATTCATTCCTAACCGACTTCCGCACTGACTTCTCCGATTTCGTTTCGCATCTACTTAGCTTAATAGTTACAGCTAGACTGGTATATAGCCATATGTATATGTATGTGTATACACCTATATATACTATATATCTGTGTGAGAGTATGTGTATATGTGTTTTTTTCTCAAGGAAAAAGGATTCATCATAGACAATCGGGGGAACCATTTGTTTTTTTTTTTTTTTGGTTTTTGGTTTTTGGTTCGCTACAGAAAATTTCTTCACAGCAGAAAAACACACTCAAAAAAATTACATAACCTCCCCGCGTTCCATTCCATTTTATCAATTTATCGTTTGATTTCTTTGATTAGTAATTAGCCTTTTCCAACATTTTTTTGAGTTTCTTTTCTCGCTTTCAAGAAACAAACCCCGACATCAATTTTTTTGTTTTTTTTTCTTTCTTTTTTTTTAATATATATATATTTTACAAAAATTTTGATTTCAGTACCTGATTGCAATGGTTTTAGACAAAAAAAATACAGACACTTGTAATTGTTGTTGTTGGTTGCTTGCTTTAGACATAAATTTGAATATTACTCATATGCATGTACATATATGTATACATCTATGTATATATATATATATATATATAGTATAGTATATATTGTTCTAACTTTATGTTTAGGCCATAGTTTGTGGTTTGGTTTAAATACGAAAACGCTTTCAAAAATTCTACAGGACATAACTTCTCGCACTCTGGCTCTCTCGCTTTTTTCGATTTGCATCGATTTGTTTGCTGATTTTTGTTGTTGTTTGTTGTAAACTTTAATATGTAAATACACACAATTAGCTATATATATTATGTTAAATATTTTGTTTAAATTTGTTTCTGCCTGCTACGCTTACGCACTAAGAACCCAAATGAGCAAAGATCTAAGACATATTCGAGTTGCATCATCCGCCCCGTTGCTCCGTTTACATTTTTTAGCACTACGATTCAATTTTTCAATAAATATATAATCGTAATCGTTATATACTCGCACTTGCACATATTAGTAAATGGTTAGCTGTGTGTATGATTTATCAATATAAAAAACATTGAAGGAGGGCACACGAATGGAGTTTTTAATTACAATTGTTTTACGGCTTGATTTCGCGACAGAAATAATGATTGCTGGATCATTATGGGGGGAAAACAGACACTAAATAATGTGAGAAAGTGGTCTAAATTGTTATCTATTTGTTTTTATTTTTCACAACCATTTAACGAAGATTGGAGGGTAAGAAAGTGGACTAAGTAGGACTATGATCCATAAAAAGCTGCTGAAGAAATGTGATTGAGATTGTGGGCGAGGCCGGGAGCTATGCTCGCATCGAATCGATCAGTTTCGATCAATCCTTTGCAGCATTCCCTAAATAAAAATGGAAGTTCGTGTTTTATTGTTTCATGGAATGGATGTAGCATAGTATGTACGGATGTATATGACTAGTATTAACTTTCTGTTGACTGATTCAATTTGTTGCTTGTTGGATTTGTGGTTGTTTTCATAG